CCCCACAAAGTGTGGTCTCAGCAGCAGCTGTTGGTGAGGCTCAGCTCCCTTTTTCCATCAGCATCTCTGCAGCAGGAGGAGGCTGAGCTGCTTCCGCGCCGTTTTGGTGGGAATCCTCTCCCAGCCACCACGTGCCTGGGCCCCGCCAGGCTGGCGCTTGCATTTAAACAAATTTTATTTTCTTGTGTGTGCTAAAAGCTCCCCACAGCCTGCGGGATCGGGCTCGGCTCCGCTTCCGGATCCGCAATCAGGCTGAAATAACAGCTCCGGGGGTCCCCATTTATCTCCGCGCCTCTCTCCTCGTGCGTCCCCGCTCATCCCGCTCTGTCACCCCGTCCTGTAATATCTCAGCATCTCCCTAAAGCAAAAGATGACAATAAAGTGTAAATGGGGAGTGTTGGCTCTGGAGCATAATGATGGCAATTTAGATGCCAGCCGTCATTTCCCCGCCGTTGCCCCAGGTAACAGGAGCCGCTGAATCCTGTGGGAACGCGGCCGAGGCGGGACGAGGTTACCTCGGAGGCTGATGGCTGTCCTGGGATTTTCTGTCATTTACCTTAAAAGGAGGGAAAGGGAAATATCCGTCAGTGGAGGTGTGAGCTCCGCTGAGCTGGCCTGGGGGTGCTGCACTCCAGCTGGGGGCAGTGCTGCTCCCTGAGCAGCTCCAGGGATGCCAGGGCTGGGGAAGTGCCCCTTGGGTCTGCATGGAATTTGTTTTTGTTAGCCACAATGCCTGCCCCAGTCCTTATCTTCATCGCTGTGCCCATCTCCATCCCTGTCTCTATCCCCGTTCCATTCCCCACCACATCCCTGCCTCCCTGCTGTTCTTATGCTTGTCCCTGTTTCCATCCCCAGTCCCATCACCATCCCTGTCCCTCTCCCCATCCCCATCCCTGTCTCTATTGCCGTTCCCATGCCTGTCCCCATTCCCACCCCCAGTCCTATCCCCATCCCTGTCCCTATACCAGTGTTTTATCTCCATCCACATCCCTGTCCCTATACCAGTTTTTATCTCCATCCCCATCTCCATCACTGTCCCTGTTTATTCCCCCTGCCATCCCTGTCCCCATATCTTATCTCTGTCCCCATTCCCATCCCTGTCCCTGTCTCCATTCCCACTCCTGTCCCCATCCCTCTCCTTATCCCTGTCCCCATCCCTGTCCCTCTCCCCATTCCCACTCCTGTCCCCATCCCTCTCCTTATCCCTGTCTCCATCCCTGTCTCTATCCACATTCTTATCTCCATCCTTATCCTTGTCCCTGCCCTTGTGCCTATCCCCATTCACATCCCCGTCCCCGTGCCTGTCCCATCCATGTCCCCATCTCTGTCTCTGTCCCCATTCCCATCCCTGTCCCCATTCTCCTCTTTATCCCTGTCTCTATCCACATTCTTATCTCCATCCTTATCCTCATCCCTGTCCTTGTGTCTATCCCCATCCCCACCCCTGTCTGTCCCCACCACTGTCCCCAACGGATGTCAAACCCAAACCCAGCTGCCATCATCNTACCTGAGCGGCATCAGCAAGGGGGACGCGGCGCGCTCGCCGCCCCGGCTCAATAATTGATGCGTTTTTCTCAGCTCCCCCTTCCGTGAAAGGAAACCCAAGTTGCTGGCTGGATGGCAGGGCTGGGAGGATGGCAGGAACAAGAGGATGGCAGGATTTGGGAGGATGGCAGGATAAGGGAGGATGGCGGGATTTGGGAGGATGGCGGGATTTGGGAGAATGGCAATGCTGGGAGGATGGCGGGATTTGGGAAGATGGCAAGATTTAGGAGGATGGCAGTGCTGGGAGGATGACAGGATAAGGGAGGATGACAAGATTTGGGAGGATGGCAGGGCTGGGAGGATGGCAGGACCAAAAGGATGGCAGTATTGGGGTGGAGGATGGAGGATTGAGATAGGATGACAGGGATAGGGGATAGCAGTGCTGGGAGGGTGGCAAGATTTGGGAGGATGGTGAGATTTGGGAGGATGGCAGTGCTGGAGGATGGTAGTGCTGGAGGATGGCAAGATTTGGAAGGATGGCAGTGCTTGGAGAATGGCAAAATTTGGGAGGATGGCAAGATTTGGGAGGATGGTAAAACTGGGGAGGATGGCAGAATTTAGGAGGATGGCAGTGCTGGGAGAATGACAAGATTTGGGAGGATGGCAGTGCTGGGATGATAGTGAGATTTGGGAGGATGGCAGCGCTGGGATGATAGTGAGATTTGGGAGGATGGCAGTGCTGGGAGAATGGCAGCGCTGGGATGATAGTGAAATTTGGGAGGATGGCAGTGCTGGGAGGATGGCAGGAATAGCAGGATGGAAATATTGGGAGCATGGCAAGCCTGGGAGGAGGATGGCAGGACCAGGAGGGTGGCAGAGGCACTGACGTGGGATGGGAATGGCAATGGGAATGGTGAGGGGCTGGGTTCCAGGTGGGTGCTCTGTGATGCCATCCTGGGGTCACCCCACTGCGGATGGGGATGTGCCCAGGGTTCTCTGTGGCCATGGGGAGACACACAGAGGTGGGAGCAGCCCCTTGGGTGCCCTCCTGCTCTGCCCAGCTTCCTCCCCATGAGAAGACCCCAGGCACCACATTTCCACCCGCTTTTTTTAGGAATCTAAAACCCTCAAACCCTGCATTCCCATGGAAGCACCGAGCAGCCTCACACCCAACATCTCCCTTTTCCCCTGAGCACCTCCTGCCCCAGAGCCTGGCACAGCCCCCTTAGTGCCCCCCTGGGTGTCCCCTGCTGCCACCTGGATCCCCATCACCCTCAGTGACCCTAGACCCCGTGTTGGGGATGCTGGCCCTGGGTGCCCCCCTGCTCACACCAGGCAGAGTTGTTTTGCTTCCACACAACCCTTCCTCCCCCTTTTTCCCCCCTTTCCCCTCTTAGCCAAGCGCACAGGGAAGGGGAGAGATTTTAACCTTCTGCCTGGAACCAATTAAAAAGGTCTTTCCACAGAGACGAAAGTGCTCGTGCACCTTTGTGTGCTGTGAGCGGGGGGAAGAAAGCAGAGGCGGCCTTTGAAGGGGGGATGAGGTCCCTCCGCTGGGACCCCTCCGGGCTTTCAAAGCCTGCGTTATTTCTTTATTTTTAAATAGCCAAATTAAAGTGCCTCCCGCTTCCTCCCCTCCCCGTTTGTGCGGCAGCACGTGGCCCCCACCAGCTGCCAGGGGGATGCTGGTTCCATCCAGGGTGTTCTGGGCACCAGGAGGGGTCAGGGTATGGCCCTAAACCCAGCTGGGACCGCTCTGGGATGGGGCAGAGCATCCCTCCTTCCTGCAGGGTGGTGATGAGGGGGTTCTGGATGAGCTGGGGGGGCACACTGCACCCCAGACCAGTGGGGTCTGGTGTCAGGGAGCCCCTGACTCAGCTCAGCACAGCCCCATGAGCAGGGCAGCCCCTCCATCACCTGAACAGCCCCCTGCTTACCTCAGTGCAGTCACCCAGGGCAGCCCATGTCACCCAGCAGAGCCCCCTGACCCATTCCAGCACCGTCTCACCCATTCCACCCCCCTGACCCATTCAAGCCCCCCCTGACCCACCTCAGTGCAGTCACCCAGGGCAGCCCCCTTCTCATCCATTCGAGCCCCCTGACCCATTCCGGCTCCCCCTGACCCATTCCAGCTCCCCCTGACCCATTCCAGCCCCTCTCACCTATTCCAGCCCATCTCACCCATTCCAGCCCCCTGACCCATTCCAGCNCCCTCTGCCCCTGTGAGCCCCCAGCGGTTCCAAACCTCCTAATTTCCAGCCTCAATTTATTCATGGCCGGTTTATACCCATTTGTTTATGTGCCAACACCGTTCCTCAGCTTAAATAGCTCTTTTCCATCCATAATATCCCCCCCCCCCTCCTGTATTCCAGTGGGCGCAATCATATCTCTTTTCAAGCTGTTCAGGAAAGAAAAATCTGAATTATTTAACCCTTGGGACACTGGCTGGTCTCGCAGGGTATAGAGAGACAAATCCGCTTTGTTCCTGTGCTGGGTCGCTGCCCGAATTTGGGGATTTTGGGAGGGTGCTGCTGCAGCTCTGAGGGGAAACTGAGGCACTGGCTGTGGTTTGGGGGAGCAGGACCAGGGTTTGGGTCTGGGATTTGCTCTCCTGGTTGGGTCTGGGGTCTCCATCTGCAGGTGCCTCTCCTCTTGGATGGGATTTTCCCTTCCACAGTGAATATCCAAGAGGTAAAAAACTTGAGAAGCCAATGTGTTTCCAGCATGGAATTGCCACCCTGCCCCGGTGTGGTGAGATTTTAATTCCAGACAATTTCCTTTCTATGGATTCTTGCTCCTGTCATGGAAGGGGCAGGGGTGTCATGATGCTGAGAAATTGTTGATTAAACCCAAATCTGGTGGAGCCAGGCTGGGTGGGTGACATGTCCTGAGGGTGGGACATGGAGCTCTGGAGCTGGGCTGTCCATGGATCTGGAGGTTGTCCTGGGTGCATCCCTGTTGCTGGAATCATCCCCATCCCATATCATCAAACTGGGATGCACTGGGGGAGCCCAGAACATGGGGTGCACCATGCTGGGGGTCCCCTAAACCCCCTCACCCAAAGGAGAGTGACTCCTCCCCACAGCCCCCTAAAGGAGGGTGACCTCCTCCCCGTGGCCCCCCTGCATCCATCTGTGTCTGGGCCATTAATCAGCTTTAATCAGCTTTAATTCAGCAATTTGTCACTCCCTCAAAGTGAGTTTTTCCCCCAAAATGTAATAATTATTACTACTATTATTCCCCTGGTAAGTGGGGGCCCCCCCGCCTTTCTTTGGGCTTTAGTAACGATCATTAAAATAAATAATTTTTTTTTAAATAAAAGGCGGCGAGAAGAAGCTTTTTTTGTTGGTTTTTTTCCTCCTTTAAATATTTTTTATTGTTCTCCGCGCATTTGAAAATTGTTTCCCTGTAAATTCCAGCCCTTTGTATTAATTTTACATTTTCCAATGTTACCTTGCCAGGGGCAGGGTTGGCACAACTGGCTCGGGAAAGGAGAGGGAAGGAGAGGGAGAAACCCTGCTCCTTAATTAGCGTGTTCCCTGTGTGATCAGAGAGCTTATGAGGCAGGTAATGAGCTGGAGGGGGGCTGCAGGACCCCCCCAGTCCTCCCCACACCTCCTCCCTTCTTGACCCCCTTCCCTTTTGGGGGTCACTCTCTGCTCCCATAGGGATGGGGCTGCACTTTTGGGGTGTTTCTGGATGAATTGGAGCCATCTCAGCAGCTGCCACAGCCTCAGGAGGTGTTTGGGAGCCCCAAAATTTTGCTTTGAGAGGTTGAGGGGGGTTGTGGTCACTGTCCCCAACCCACCAAGGCTCCATCCACTGGCCAAACCCTGGGGATGTGGGGTGACCACTGTCCTGGCAGTGCTGAGGTTTTGGGGGGGCTACCTGATGGGGAGAACATTAAATTGATATAAAAAACCTCAAATTGATAGGAAAAAACTTCAAATGGATAGGAAAACCCCTTAAATTTATATGAAAAAAACCTCACTCAGTGAGGAGGGGAAGCCAAGCTGCCAATGGGGGAACGGCGAATTTGGCCTTGAGCTCCACCAGCTGTGGTGCTGGGGGTCTGGAATTTGGGGAGGGGGTCACAGGGGTCACCCTGTGAGGAGATGGAGGGGGTTGCTGGCGTGTGCCACAGAGTTCTCCAGAGCTGATAATCCCTTAATCTCTGGGGTTGTCAGTGCCAAGAACACCAGTGACACCGGGATTGTGGCGCCGCCGGGAATCGCCGTTTTTGTGCGGTTTCCTGCCAAATGGTGCCGGTTTGTTGGCATGAAACAAAGAGGATTTGGGTTAATCTGGAGGTTAATGGGGCTGGTGGGGTTGGGTCAGGCTTTGGATCACACAGAGGTGAGGCCCTGGCACAGGGTGCCCAGAGCAGCTGTGGCTGCCCCATCCCTGGAAGTGTCCAAGGCCAGGTTGGATGGGATTTGGAGCAACCTGGGATGGTGGAAGGTGTCCCTGCCGTGTCAGGGGTGACTGGATGGGCTTTAGGGTCCTGGGATTCCATGGTCCTGTGTTTGCCTGCCCCTCCTTACCCACTCATATCTGATAGTCCTGGATCAGCTGGAGCACCACTTGATCTCCTGGGAATGCTCTCCTTGGCTCATTCCTGAAAAACAAGGAGGATTTTCAGTCCCAAAAAGAGCAGCTTGGCAGAGTCCCATCTCAGGACACCAAAAAGAGCACAAAAACAGAGCACCCATGGGCACTGGATGGGCTTTAGGGTCCTTCCTACCTAAATCATCCTGGGATTCCATGGTCCTGTGTTTGCCTGCCTCCCCTTACCCACTCATATTCAACAGCTGGAGACACCACTTGATCTCCTGGGAATGCTCTCCTTGGGTGTTTCCTGCAAAACAAGAAGGATTTTCAGTCCCAAAAGAGCAGCATGGTAGGGTCCCATCCCAGGACACCAAAAAGAACACAAAAACAGAACACCCACGGGCACTGGATGGGCTCTAAGGTTCTTCCCACCCAAACCATCCTGGGATTCCATGGTCCTATGTTTGCCTGCCTCCCCTTACCCACTCATATCCGACATCTGGAGGCACCACTTGATGTCCTGGGAATGGCTCTTCTTGGTTCATTCCTGCAAAACAAGGAGGATTTTCAGTCCCAAAAAGAGCAGCTTGGCAGGGTCCCATCCCAGGACACCAAACAGAGCCCAAAAACAGAACACCCACAGGGACTGAATGAGCTTTTAGGTCCCTCCCAACCCAAACCTCCATGTGATCCCACGCTGTGAGGGGTCTCCAGACGAGTTTGTGACCCTCTGCCCCAACATCTCCGCAGGTTCCACCGCGGGGACTACACGGTGGAGGTGAGCATCAACGACTACCTGGACATCTACTGCCCTCACTACGAGGAGCCGCTGCCGGAGCGGATGGAGAGGTACATCCTCTACATGGTCAACTACGAGGGCCACGCGTCCTGCGACCACCGGCAGC